GAAAGTGTCACCGCTCGCGCCCACCAAGGGTAGCCTGGCATATTCCACCCCTCCTTCTGAACAAAAAAGAAGCGCGAGGGTTGTATAAAAAAAGCCAGGGGGAACCCCTGACGACCCCCCCCCCGCAGAGGCTAAGGGGCTCTCCCTGCAACTTTGCCGAGACCCAGCGACCTAGGTTCGCACTCGAGGGGGCTCGGCAAACAAACCCCTCCTTCCGAACGAAAAGGTTGCGCGAAGGTCGTGCAAAAAGCCAGGGGAACTCCTAACGGCCCTCTTGCTCTGGGCAGAGGCTAGGGAGCTCTTCCTGCAGATATGCTGAGGCCCCGCGACCCAGGCTCACACCTGAGGGGGTCTCAGCCAACAAACCCTCATGCGCGAGAGGCATATAAAAAGCCAGGAGAGCACCTGACGGCCCTCTCGCTCTGTGCAGAGGCTAGGGGGCTCTTCCTGCAGGTTTGCCAAGACCTAGCGACCTGGGTTCGCACACGAGTGGGCTTAGCAAACAACCCCCCCCCCCCGTCCGAACGAAAAGGATGCGCGAGGGCTGAACAAAAAAGTTAGGGGGACCCCTGACCGCCCTCTCGCTTCGTGCGGAGGCTCGGGGGCTCCTTCTGCACCCAAGACAAGGACAAGCGACCCAAGCCCGCACTCATAGATTCAGAAAAAAGCAACAAAAAGGGCACCGAGCCCATTACGGTCCAAGGGTTCGAAGGCTGGACCACCGAGGGTTTCGACAGTCGCCCCAGGACAACAGAGTTAGGGACAACTATGGGCGAGCCCGTACATGGCCGTGGCCCGAGCAAGCGATTGCTCGGGATGCCCTAAGTCGCGTTCGAGACCTAGCAGAGAGTTCTCGGAATGGGATCCCACCATAGGGAGGCGCCGAGCCCCCGGGGCCAATCGAACGGCCCTGGGACCCAATAGAGAAGCCCTCTGGTACTTTTGGAGTGCATCTCTGGACCGTTAGCCGACCCTTATCGAATGGGGCACGGGCCTCCACTCGGACTTACCCGATAGCAGCTCATCAGAAGTGTCACCGCTCGCGCCCACCGAGGGTAGCCTGGCATATTCCACCCCTCCTTCCGAACGAAAAGGAAGCGCGAGGGTCATATAAAAAAGCCAGGGGAAACCCCTGACGGGCCTCCCCGTAGAGGCTAAGGGGCTCTCCCTGCAACTTTGCCGAGACCCAGCGACCTAGGTTTGCACTCGAGGGGGCTCGGCAAGCAAACCCCTCCTTCCGAATGAAAAGGTTGCGCGAGGGTCGTACAAAAAGCTAGGGGTACTCCTGACGGCCCTCTTGCTCCGGGCAGAGGCTAGGGAGCTCTTCCTGCAGATATGCTGAGGCCCCGCGACCCAGGCTCGCACCCGATGGGGTCTCAGCAAACAAACCCTCACGCGCGAGAGGTGTATAAAAAGCTAGGAGAGCACCTAACGACCCTCTCGCTCTGTGCTGAGGCTAGGGGGCTCTTCCTGTAAGTTTGCCGAGACCCAGCGACCCGAACTTGCATTCACGGGTCCAGCAAGAACGATAAAACTCCTTGCTCAAACAGGAAAAAAGACCCTGTAGGAGTAAACCCACTCCTCTAGGGCCTCGGGGGCTACACCCGGCGGGTGCGCTCGCGCGCACCCACCGGAACCACCAAGTACAAAACACGATCTCAACAGGAGCTGTTGCAAACCAAGTCTCGTCAAAACCTCAGGAGAGTGCCCGCACTCCTCCCGAGGCTCGGGGGCTACTGTCGGATACCACAAGAAGGGGTACCCTAAGTAAGAACAAAAAATGTTGCTTAGACCTTGCAAAAATCAAAGCCAAAAGACTACCGCCAGGTCTCTGCAGAATTCTTCGATTCGCTCGAGGACTTGCGCCGAGGCCTCATACGAAAGGCCAAAAGCGCCCCGCCGAGGCCCTCTCGCCGAGACCCTCTCGCCGAGGCCTCGCCCTGAAAGGCCTCGGATGGGATGCCAATTCTCCGATTCGCTCGAGGCCGGGCTCGGCAAACATACTCGTAACCTCCATCCCGACCAAACTCCTCTGATGAAACGTCACGTCCAGATGAATGCGCCCAACTACTCCCACAAACGTCACCAGACTTTTCGTGCAGTACGATGCAGACGGGCGAACGACCGACGGGACAGGGACCGGGCGCAGCAGGGGTTACGCCGCCATCGTGTGCTCATCATCGTGCTACCTAACCCACGTGCCAAGGACAAAGCAGCATGGAAGGTCAAGTCCATGTCCTCAGTAGTCTCGGAAACCGCAGGAGAGCCCAACTGCTGTTTTCTACGCCTCGCCCGAGACCCCGGCGTAGGTCTCGGGACGTACTATTCCTTCTCCGCCTCGGCCGAGGCTAGGCTCGTCCCACATCCTCATCATCTCCGCCTCAACTGCCCCTCTGGTGGGCCGTCCCATCCATGGAAGTACCCCTGGTTGCGCCTACGTCAGCCACGATTGGCAGGGCATAGTAACAGGGGCGATGGGACGGCGGTCAAATCTCCTTTTTTACCATTCCCCGGCGACGGCAGGGACTACCGTGCTTTGTGGACACACGCCCGCACTTTTCCACCTAAACCGGTACGACGACGACCACCGAGACACCGCGCAGATTACTCAGGTCACCTCCGTGCCTCGGCAAATCAGGCCTCGACTTCGGTCGGCCACAAACACTGTCAGCCTCGGCGAACCACCAAGTCAAAAATTCACAAGGCACGGCATGTCACCTCTGAGAGGAGGCCATGCCGACTAAACATCAACGAGGACCCCTACGACTTCAATGACTTGGGCATGGCCGACATGACGCACAAAGTGATCAAGTACCAATTGCCATTCCCGACCTTTGTGCTACTACAGGGGAATAGGCCCACGATCTTGGATCTTCCTTCCTCGCTAAGGCTCCACGTAGCTCTCTCATGTACTCTGGCTCCCTCCTTGTGGCTATAAAAAGGAAGCGCCGGGGCCATTTCTATGGATCGAGACCACGCCGGCCCTTACGCGCAAAACGCACTCACTCGATTCACGCACGCTCCCACGCTACCTGAGAGCAACGACTCAAGCAGCCCACACCACTCCACGCCGAGACCTGGGACTAGCTCCTCTCTCACCCAAACTTGTAACCCCCTACTACAAGCACTTGATTTACAAAGAATACAAGATCGATCTCCTAGACTGGACGTAGGGCACTGATTGCCTGAACCAGTATAAACCTTGTGTCTCTTTGCATCACCATCCGGGATTAGGGGCACACAGTTCACATTTACTGGTTGGTTGAGGACACCCCGGTCCGAAACACCAACACAACCTTTCAGTTGGATGACTCTTTTGATGACACCAATAGGCGCTTTGTGCAGAGAATCCAAGAATCTGAGGTCAGAGAGGCGTTGAAAAGGATGAAAGGAGGTAAGGCGATGGGACTAGATGGTATCCCAATCGAGGTGTGGAGATGTCTCGGGGACATAGCTATAGTATGGCTAACCAAGCTGTTCAACCATATTTTTCGATAGAACAAGATGTCTGATGAGTGGAGGAGAAGTATATTGGTACCGATCTACAAGAATAAAGGGGATATTCAAAGTTGTAGTAATTATCGGGAATTAAGTTGATGAGCCATACTATGAAGCTATGGGAGAGAGTTATCGAGCATCGTTTGAGAGCAATAACGCGGGTCTCTGTGAACCAATTTGGTTTCATGCCCGGAAGATCAACCATGGAAGCCATTTTCTTAATAAGACAAGTTATGGAGCGGTATAGGGAGAAGAAGAAGGACATACACATGGTTTTTATTGACTTGGAGAAGCCTTATGATAAAATACCAAGGAATGTTATGTGGTGGGCTTTGGACAAACATAAAGTCCCAACGAAGTACGTCGGGCTCATTAAGGACATGTACAACAATGTTGTGACTAGAGTTCGAACAAGTGATGGACACACGGATGACTTCCCGATTAGGATAGGACTACATCAAGGGTCAGCTTTGAGCCCTTATTTGTTTGCTTTAGTGATGGATGAGGTCATAAGGGACATACAAGAGGACATCTCTTGGTGTATGCTTTTCGCGGACGATGTAGTGCTAGTTGATGAAAGCTGGACAGGAGTGAATCAGAAACTGGAGTTATGTCGGAAGACGTTGGAGTCCAAAGGTTTTAGACTCAGCAGAACTAAAACTGAGTATATGAGATGTGACTTCGGCACTACTACTCGAGAGGAGGAAGATGTTAGTTTGGAAGGTCAAGTAGTGCCTAGGAAGGATACATTTCGATATTTAGGATCAATGCTACAGAGGGACGGGGACATTGATGAAGATGTTAGCCATATAATCAAAGCAGGGTGGATGAAGTGGCGGTAAGCGTCTGGTGTCATATGTGACAAAAGGGTACCATAGAAGCTAAAATGCAAGTTTTATAGGACGACAATTAGACCTGCTATGTTGTATGGTACAGAATGTTGACCTACGAAAATACGACATGTTCAACAGCTAAGTGTTGCGGAAATGCGTATGTTGCGTTGGATTTGCGGTCATACAAGAAGGGATCGAGTTCGGAACGATGATATACACGATAGATTAGGGTAGCGTCAATTGAAGAAAACCTTGTCCAACACCGGTTGAGATGGTTTGGACATGTGCAACGGAGACTCCTAGAGGCACCGGTGCGTAGTGGAATTCTAAGTCAGGATAGTAACGTGGAGAGAGGCAGAGGCAATAAAAGACCGTCCATTTATGTAGTGCTAGTTGACGAAAAGACCGAGGTTGACTTAGAGTAGAGGCAATAAAAGGAGACTTGAAATGATGGAATATACCTAAAGACTTAGCTTTAGATAGGAGTGCTTGGAAGACAGCTATTCACGTGCCTGAACCTTGATTGCTTCTGATGGGTTTCAACTCTAGCCTACCCTAATTTGTTTGGGACTTAAAGGCTTTGTTGTTGTTGTTGCTATATCATATCTGCACTTATGAGTTATGATTAGTGGCAGCAACATGAACACATCTGAGAGTAGCCTGCTCTACCTACCTTTCTCTGAAGTTAACTGCAGCAGCCATGTGGATGATGATATTTGTTTCTTTCACTATATCTTCAGCAAGATCAACATTCCCTATACCCAAATTGTTCAGTGAGACTTCTCCTGCCACAGGGAAGATCTTGTCCCAGAACCATGAAGTGAAATGATTTTGGTACTTCTCTCGCAAAGACAGAAATATCTGAAGTTGCATAATCTGACATGACACGTAATAGGACCAAGGAAAAAACTTAATTAATCACACAACTTAATCACAATACGCTAAAGTCCCTAAGACGATGCGAGATATAAACACAGAGCAACGAAGAGAAGAGGACGACCACGGATCGGACTCGCTCCTTTGCAGAAACCTGGTCAGGGGCGCGCACGAGGAGGTACAGCCGCTTCACCCGCGGCTGCAGCCGCAGGATCTTCTCTACAAGAACTGCAGCTCATAACCCAACGAAGCATGAAATTTCGGTCGCAGAACCCCCCTCCAACAACAAACTAGTAAAGATTCAAGCCGTTGCCGTTACGTTTCGCTATGAATCCGGTGGCGCCCGTGATGAGGACCGTCTTGCCGTGAAGGCGCTCCGCGACCCCGGCGGGTTCCATGGCGAGCAGGACGCCAATGGCGTGCTTTGTGTCTCCCTACTCCCGAAGTCACGAGACGAGTAGTAATAGTGGTGGGGCTGGGCTATCCCCTAGCGGGGACGCCGGGTTGTGAAAAATCCGAAAGTTTCCTCCTTGACGGGCAGTTTCCTCCTTGACGGGCCGTACAACTTAACGTGTAGGCTTGTTTAGTTTCAGGTGTAAAGTTCTGGACGATATATCGGGTGTCTACGTGGGTATCGCATACGACGTTTAAATAATAATAAAAAAATAAATTATAGAATCCGTCGATAAATCGTGAGATAAATTTATTAAGCCTAATTAATCCGTCATCAGTACATGTGTGTACTGTAGCACTTTATTATTAAATCATAAACTAATTAGGCTTAAAAAATTCGTCTAGTAAAATAGTCATAATCTATGTAATTAGTTATTTTTTAAATCTATATTTAATATTTTAGGTATATTCTAAATATTCGATGAGATAAGACCCAAACTTTTGGGACTAAACCAGGCCTCAGTCAACATTGCGTCGTGCGGCGTGTCGCCGTAGCATACACGGGCAGGTGGGACCCACACCACGGAGGAGTAGACGGACCCACCAGGCATTCCCAACGCGCGCCGCGCGACAGAGCGAGGCAGATCACAAATCCAGCCATCCAGGCCGTCGGAGTCGGACCACTGACTCCCGAAGCGGTAATCGCCGCTCCTCCTAGCCTCCAGCGCCCCGCACCACAGTTCACAGATCCCGTCTTCCCATTCCCCCCTAGCCTCGGCCGCCCTCCTGCCCGATTCAAAATTTTCGAGCCTTTCGCCGCCGTCTCCACACCCGCTAGCCGTTGCCGTTCCTCTTCCACCTCCATGCCCAAACCCTAGGCCCCGCAGCGACCTCCGCGAGAGCCGAGCCGGTCAGCCATGGAGCACCTGTTCATGCAGGCCTTCGAGAGCAGGGACCGGGTGGCCGCGCAGGTGCAGCAGCACGCCGACTCCTACTCCAGGATCCTCGCCTGCAACCTCCTCGCCGCCGGTCACCAGCCCCCGGAATGGCTCATCCCTTCCGCCACCCTGCCCCAAGGTGCGTGTCCCAACTCCCTTACTCTTCCGTCTCCGCGCTGGTGATTCGGGCGGGTTCCTGAGCCGGGGCGGTGTGGATTGTGTTGCCCGATTGGGGCTGATTTCGATTCGGACCTGGGCTCGCGTAGCTCCACTGGTAGGGTTGGTGGGTAGTGGTGATTTGAGCTTAGGTTGCCCTATAGAAGGTTGTAGCTAACTAGAATTTGGTTCTAGTGATAACAGTATGTGGGGAATTAATTTGGTTAGCTCCTCCGTGTTTGTTAAATGCGAGATACTTTGAGTTGAGTTGTCTGTGTAGCGTGTTCGTTTTCAGGAGCAAGGAGGCCATACGCTTAAAATTGGCTGGCTAGTAATAAAATGGCTATATTTTCCCTCGTATTTGTGTCAAGATGGTCATGATAGCAGTAATTTGCATCAGAGAAGTGCTGCGGATGAGGATGATGTTACTTAGATTTAGAGAAACCTAGGGTTTTGCCTTTTGGTATGATGACTACAACTGAATATTAGCATAACTAAATATACACGTTATGGTTTGTTGTTGCCACTCTATTGTAATTTCAATGGTTCCACAAGTAATATAATTTTCAGCTAACAAAAGGGCGTACCCAGTGCAGAAATAAAAAATAATTATGACTCTGTTCTTTTTTTTTTTTGGTCTGCAGTGCTACTTATAAACATTTGTAACATTGAAATACCTAAGTGTTGCGCCTCAACCATTATTGAATGTTCCTACATTATATTTAGCTTTTATATGCTGTGAATGTTGTTTCGTGTTATCCATTTGTGCACTGTTACTATCTTGCATTTTACTCATATATATTGAAGTACTCCATTTATGTGTAGAGCTGAATGGCAAACCAATTGTTCTGACTGGAAGACAGATTACAACACCAGCCATCAATAGGACTGTCTTTCTGCCTCTAGCTGTTCCTAGCACTTTGTCCACAAAGTCGGGGGATCCAAATGGATATGATGCCTACCAAGGCACTAGTTGCACTGCTCTGGGTACTACTAACCAACATGAAGAGCAGCAGCAAGAGCAGGCTTCGCTTACCCAGGAGCTTACTGAGTCTTGCACTGCAGCCAAATTGTTTTCAAGGATTCAGCGTTCCAGGTCAAGGCAAAAGCATATTGAAGATCGCCTACATGGAGGAGATCGAGCTGCAAAGAGTGGAAGCTGTGATGGTATGCAAGATGGGATGCATAAGTCTAACCTTAAGACTGTGGGGTCAAACAGAGCTGCTGCATCATCATCTTCCGTGCCGTGTGATGATGTCCCAAACCGTGCTGAAACAACATCAGGTTCAGGTCAGGGTGGTGGTTTTTGTGCCATTCAAGGAAAGTCAGCTGACTTCTTGAAGTGCGACAACAATCCTGAAGACCAAGGAGTTAAGTTAGATGGTTTCCCACCGCTGATTGTAGAGAACAAGATTATCTGTTCTGATAGCGATGTCGGGGTCAGTAACAACTGTTCTGTTAGAGATTCACCGGGTGTGCCACTTCCAGATTTCTCTAAGCCAAACACTGCAGATAGTGTGTGCCATCAAATTCCTGAAACTCACTTATTGGTTGAGCCAAAAATACTTCAATTTGATGTTGCTGAATCAGTTTGTATGAATCCTTCCAGTGAACAAACAGGTCAGCAACAGGAATCTGGTCTGAAAAGTGACCATCTTGATCTTGCTTTTACAAATCTGTCAAGTGAAGACCCATCTTCTACCAGCTCTCAGGGACCTCATTCTATGGGAAGGTTGTTGCTTAATCATGTTAGGTCAGGACATTTGAACCATGACAGTGCATCAGTGGAGCAGCACCACAAATATACTTCAGAATGTGGCCATCCTGATCTTACTAGTATGCCTTCTCCAAATAAGAAACCATCTCCGACGTGTTCTGCTGAAGTACTGAATTCTACGGGTGAACCATTACTTCATAAGAATACAGAACATATTCCTGAAACCAATTCTTTGGGAAGAGCATACCCCAAGGTCAGCCAACCACTTAAAATAGATACATTGAAGAGTAATGAAACCAACTGTTCTGTGGTCAACTCACTGCTTGATAATGATACAATGCAGGTTGTTGAGGATACTGACAAACTGAAATCTCATGTCTCACCTCCATACAGTGGACCTTTGCAGCTACCTACCCAACTAGCTGATGCAAGGTTTGGGGCTCATACATCACCAGGAATATCACCGAACAGTTTGTTAGGGGCGGATGGCTGTAATCACCTTTCAAATTTGCAAAAAGATGACACAAATAGCCGATGCTCCCAAGACAGATCTGCTGAGCTGCTTCCACCTCATAATTTTATTTCCACTGATGCTTGTCAATCAAGGCACTTGTCTTATAGAACACAAAGTAACGACAAACATTCCAATGGTGCTGCTGCTGTGAATGCCTCTAAATCTGCAGATAGTGAGTTATCTCAGGAACAGTATTTATTGGTCAGACCATCTTTGGAATTTAATGGAAGTATTTCAGATGTGGAAACTTCCTTGGGCCATCCTCCTCTGAGCATGCAAAATGAGATTCTCCAAGCAGACCCAGTATCTGACTCAATCAATTGCTCTTCAGGAAAATTGGGTGATGATGTTCATGTCAGCAAAGCCTGTGGTGGTTCTGCTGATAACAGAAAGAACAAATCTGTGGTTCCAAAAGTTAGCCCGATTAGTTCATCTAGAACCAGAGGTAAGCAAGTAACAGAAAAGAATGCTGTCGCTTCATCAGGAAAAAACAATGGAAAACTGCGACAAGGTATTGTGATTGCTCCTTGTCCTTGTAGATCATTATCCGTTTCCTTTTTTTTAGCAAATGTCAATATGATATGTTCTTATATAACTTGCAATCTTTCAGGAAAAGAACAAGAGACCCCTCATGCTAAGGATGATGTGCAAGTAATTGCTGATGCTAAGGATGATGTGCAAGTAATTGCTGATTCATGCACAGCCGAAAACATTGAGAAAATGAAGTCTCCATGTACGCCAGAATCATGTGACAAGAACAACAAGCACCAAGAGGATAGAGGGCATGCTCAGAAGAAGTCAGCTGCAGATGGTGTCCAGATTAATGGGGGCATGTCATCCAAAAGAAAACGAATAAAGCGCCAAGACACTGTGCTTCCCAATTCTCAAGACACAAATCCATTATCTCCCAATCACCAAGATGGCATTGACACCCATGTGGTAACTGCAGAAAAAATTTCAGTGGAAACTCAACCTTCTGGTCGTTACTTCCTAAGAAATTCAGGATTTGATCACTTCATGCTTCTCAAGTCTGAGACAAAGAATGATGCAGTGAACCACAGTATGTCAGTTGCAAGTGATGTTCAACAAAATGAGAATTCTTCTCCCAAGCTAAGAGATAGGTTCAGCCTATCTGAGGTTGCTCTCTGTAACTCTTCTAGTGCAAAGGCTTTATCACCTAATTTTAGTAATGGTATCCGCAGCAGGAATGTAGTTGAAGAAATGGACCTCCAAAACTATCAAGCACAGTTACAAAATATTTTTGATGTTGCTGCAAGTTCTCCATTGGCTAGCAGCTCTATGGAACTCTGCAGTCAAGAGGTATGTGTTTTCATCAAGTGTTTCAGTTCTTCTCCATTTTGAAATTGTGAAAATGCTAATTTAAAAGATTATTCTTCGGATTCTTTTTTCAAGTGCAAGTTTATGGAGTTGGATGATTTCAGTTTTATCTAAGTGCAAATTGGTTCAGTATCTGATTTTTAAATATATTGTTAGACTTGTTGGTAGGTGAATTTCATTTGTTAGCATTTTTAGGTGGTAGAGTTTTGCAATGTTCATTCTTGGATAGGAGCATGTTGAAATCAGCTATCAATGTACCGGAACAACAAGCTGTCTTTAGATCACCGGAAGTATATATAGTCCTTTTGTCCTTCTATTTTTTTTTTTGGTGGTGGCTCATGTTGGGTTTCAGCTCTAGCCTACCCCAACTTGCTTGGCAGTTGGCACAAAAAGGCTGTGTTGTTGTTGCCACTGCTGCAGTGTTTTCAATGTTCTTTCTGAAACCAAGCTTACTGTTTCCTAATTGTGTTAGTAAATCATTGACAACTTTTCTTCTTTTGTTGGCAGGAAAATACTTACTTACAAGGTGAGAGATTAAGTGTTGCTAATTCCAATGTGGAACATCCGTGGATGGCTCCTCAGATGGATGAAATATTGTCTCAGAGTGTGACACTGAATCCAGCAAATTATTTCAGCACTGATTCAACAAATATATTCCCGAGTTATGCATTGGATCAACATGGTAAACAGGCATCTGCTCCAGTTGCATTGTTTCATGAGGAATTAAGTTATGGCTCTGGCGTGGAAGTTGATAGGAAATTTAGAAGTGAAGATCTAACAGGACATTTGCTATCTGATGATATTACCCCAAGGCAAAAGGATGATGACTCTGTGGAATTCAATGATGCAATGCCACAATTTGAGAGCTTTGATTTTTCTCTTCCATTGGATAGCTCAACTACTGAAGAAAGTACATTTGGGAGCGTTCATGATTCCAGACAATTTGGTACATTTAATTCTGATACCTCTAATAAATATAAGATGAGCACAGTAAGTGGCATGTGTCAGCTATTGGCAACTATGTCAGGGAAAGCTGCAAACTGTTTGTTTAATGATGATGGAAGACAACACAGTGTAAGTATTGATGGCAGAATAACAGATATTTTTGGTTCAAGTGGATTGGGACATAAGGGTTCTTTCATTACTTCTGATGTTGTAGTGTCATGTTCCTCAAATGCTGCTAACAAAAAGGATAATGGTGAAAATCCATTGACCCCTTATGTTGAAAAGTATTGCGTGGGGAAACTTTCAGAAAAAAATAGATCTGTTTCAGAGCATATGGGTTCAATTCCTGAGCTTTTATGCTTCCGAATTGATGAAGACAGTGACATTGCAGAAGAAAATGATTACCGAGAGATATTACCTGGATCTGTAGGCAACCAGGGCCAATCTGGAAGAAAAGCACTTCAGGATATCACTGGACTATGTCAAAGCATTGGGGATCCTGCCTCTTATTCGATAGGTATGATTATGGATACAGGTGACACAGACATGACTGTAGAAACTTGCAGCAGCAAACTCAATCATGATCCAGATCTCAGGAACGATGGTGATAACAAGAAGCCTAAAGAAAGTTGTGCTTCTTTATTAAAAAAAGGAGGGAAAATGTCTCATTCCCTCCATAACAGATTAAGCAAGAGAGAAACAAGACAGAGTGAAGCAAATCCTGGCAAGCGCTCTAAGCCTAGCAATATTGTTGCTAATGTGGCATCTTTTATACCTCTTGTAAAGCCAAAGGTGCAACCTGCATGTGGTAAGTCTCATTTGTTACTTCCACTATTTCATCTCGAACATACAGTGCGTACTAGGAATTGGTGGAATCAATGTTCACAAGTTTTGACCAATAATTACTCAAAATTTGAACATGTTTAGTCTACAAGAGTTGCACCACTAGACTCCTACTTGGAATATCATTAATACCGATATTGATTTTGTATCAATTGGTAATATACTCTATGAGAGATTAATGGTCCAAGTGTAGTATGGTTTACTTTCTCCAAACATAATACACCCTATATTTTGGGATAGAGGGAGTATTAGTATAAGTAAATTATGCTAAATCTAGTAGGCAACTGATCCTTGAGTTAGAAATATTTGTTGAGTGGTGCTCACAGAAGGCCTCTACAAATGGGGTTTCTGTCTTGTAGTGAAAAAAGATGTCAGAGTGAAGGCACTTGAGGCAGCTGAAGCTGCAAAACGTCTTGAAGAAAAGAAACGAAATGAACGTGAAATGCGCAAAGCAACAGCAAAATTAGAGCGTGAGAAACTGAAGCAAGAGAAAGAACTAAAGCAAAAACAGGAAGAGGAACAGAAGAAGAAAAGAGGTGCTGATGTGGCAACAAGGAAGAGGCAGAGGGATGAGGAGGAAAGGAGGGAAAAGGAGAGAAAAAAGAAATGCATTGAAGAAGCTCGAAAACAACAGACGCGACCTATGGAAAGAAAGCATGCCAACAATGACAAAGAAGCTCATCCAGAAGCTCATGTGAGTAGAAGCTATATTGTTTATGTCTACCAAGTGTTCCTTAATATGATAAATATTTGTTACTAAGCATTTAAGTCGTTGCAGGATAATAAGGAGCGGCAGAAGAATTTGGCTGAAGTGGTGAAAGTCCCAGTAAAAGTTGATGAAATGACAGGCCTTGGAGGAAAGGCCACTATCAGTCACAATGAAATGGTTCTGATAACCGATGAGAGGCCTGCAATTTTTGGATCTCATTGTCAGGAAAATATCCCAAACAGTATTGAGGAGGTATGTTCTAGTCTTCACTTAGCTTTATCTTAGAAAGAACCTTGCGAGATCTTAAGTCTTAGAAAGTGCTGGGATACAAAGACGGCAGATTATTTTTTGATGGGGAAAATGATGGAGATTCTCCAATTGGGCTACTTTGATTTCATTTGGTAGTGTTATTTCACTTCAGTGTCAGCAAAGGTTCTAATTGCGAATTCTCTGCTCTGTGGTTTGTTGAACTTTTGTAGTCATACATAATGACTCCATATAAAGATTCTGATGATGAGGATGATGATTTCGAACATAAAGAGGAATCAAGGCGAAGAAGGAAATTGGTTCCTTCATGGGCTCGGTATGTGTCTACCTTACTTCCAGAATCTCTTAATAACATAGCTGCTGTTCTTTACATGTTATGTTGATGTGATGCCTGATGCGGTATGGCAAAGCTCAGGAGCCACAACAGAGCTTCCTTTGTACCATACTTGCTGTTGAGCTCAGCGTGAGTGGGGGTCATAGGATGAGTTTGTTTGCATAATTGATAATTGACGAATTGATTCTCCTAGCTTTAATAATGATTATCGGATGCAACAGAGAAACTCAAGGCCTCTAAGTCATGCCCGTTTCTCATTTTATTAATTGACTTCCCCTCATTTTACCTTGAGAGATTGCTAATGACACGGTCTCTTCTCTGATTTGCAGGGGAAAAAACTTGGAAAACATCTTATTATCCAATTATGTTTTGGACGTTAGAAAAATCTTTGCACGGAAATGCTCGTCTGATCTCTCTGAAAGTAATCCCCCATCCATCACTGTCCATGTGAATTAAATTCATCCTGGTAGTTGCAAACGCTTACTTTCTTGTTCTTTGCAGCTTGTCCTGTCCACATACCACAACGTGGTTTCAGATGAGTTTCTTTCTTAGTTCGAAAATGGGTCCCAGATGAGCTTCCATTTACTGAACTATTGGTTGTGTGCTGCTGCCTTTCGTGAGGCATTGTCATTTGGCTTCTGTCAGCAGTATGTGTATAAGCTGGTTTCACTAGTTTCACATATGTATAACAACATTCCTGTACCATTAGGCAACTGCGGCAACGATCGTTGTTGTACATAGTTTCGATTAGTTCACGAAGGCTTTTGCTTCGTCGCACTATTCTCTGTGCAAGGAGATAACCTGTTGGTTGACAAGAGTAGTGATCTTGTCTGAGCACTGTGCTCAAGGGAGCAGCATGGCTGTTAAGCTACTTTTATGTACATTATGTAATGCCATGAATTAACTTGTACTACACATGAAATCGATAGTTGACTATTTTTGACGCAAAGAAATGACGTCTTGGAATGTTAAAATGATTTGGATCAAGGAGAATGTTGCGGTAGAAGAATTGCACAGTATTTCCCCAGAAGTTAATTATGTACGTGTGGTGTTCGTGCGGCCTGGGCTGGAACTGGGAACGCAGGACATCTGGTGTCCGGCGACGAGGCAGCCCCGGCCATGTCTTCCCGTGCAAAACGAAGACGAGGCCTAGTGATGGTTGAGTCCAGGTTCCGGCGCGTTCCGTAGGCCTATTCCGCGGCCGCATCGTGGCGAGCGGGTCGACGACGACGAAGCCTTTGAGGATGGCAGGGCTTGGCCCGACGAGCGTCGGCGCTCGTCGGTCGTCACAACGATCGCCGTGGCTGCCGCGCCACGCACTCAACGCCATAACAGGTGGGAGTAGAGCCACATCCACCGGTCGTACGTAGGTGTCCCTGCCCCTCGCCGTGTGCGCCGCTCCTCACTGGCCCCGTGGAGCTTGACTGCTTGTCTTGATCATCCCTCGCCCCGCCGGCGCCCGTGCCACAGGTCCACCTGCACCCAGCACCCGCAAGTATTGTATTGCACATGCACATGAACACAGCCACATAACCCACGAGAAGAAGCTACTAGTTGCATGGCCACTGCCCACGGAGACTGAGAGATCATGGTTGGGTGGCCTGTCGGCGATGACAGTGAGAGCAGAGAGCACACGGCCCTCGCAGAAGCGAGGCTTCTCCTCGCTGGTGCTGGGTTGTGCTCTCTCTCTTCTGTCATCACTCCCGAGGTCCACTCACCCGCTCTCCATTGCCAGCCTGGGCCGCCGGTGTCCGCCCTCCCCCTTGCCACGAACCCTGCACCGAGGAAACCAAGCAGTCAGAGACGCCATCGGCCTCGGCGAAGCCAAATAAGGCATCCATCTGCCACGCCACGCCATCGTGCACGCGATGGGATCGGAGGAGCACCAGCAGATAGCCCACGCACGCCCGAATCATCAGAGAAGTGTGGGTGGAGTTGCTTAGCTTCACCGGGAGGGAGAGAAGCAGCGTGATGGACGAGACATGACTCCGATGCTCGCCCGCCACTGGCTTGTGCGCGCGCGAGGGCGTGTGTGAGTGTCCGAGTGAGCTAGCCTAGCAGTGAGGCGTGGCAGCCAAACGTCTGCGGCTCAAATAATAAAGCGAAACGCGCCGGGTGAGCTGAGGCAAGCCTGGGGGCTCGCTGCCACCGCTGCTGCTGCTGCCTAGCAGAACGTGGGAAGCGTGTTTACTCGGGGCGCGCCGACCCGAAACGGCGCCGAGAACGTGGCCCTGCGGCCGCGCCGCGGCAGCGGCCATATCCGGCAGAGAGCGACGGGGAGACGCCGTACCGCGCGTTATGTCTCTGGCTGTTGTGAATTCAGTTGTTGGGGGGGTCCGCGCGCGCGGCCGCGAATTAATCCGCCGCGGCGCGCGCTGTGCCTGCAGGCTGCAGCCGCTGCGGAAACGCTCGTGCACGTCGCGCTCGCGGCGCAGCAGCTGGGCTAGCGTGCACGCAGCAGTCGCGCGCGCGGCCAGGGTGCAGGAGATCGAGGAGGGAAGGTGCTGTAACTGCATGCATCACCAGTTGATGCATCGAGCAACAGCCGCACGGCATGTAGGAACCGTTCCAACTTGCAAGCGAGACACTGCCGAAACTCGTTCCTGACAACCAGAGTTGCAGCGCAATATTTGTTTCATGGCAAAAATTTAAAGACTTGCATAGGTAATCAAGTTCAACTACAGGCTTGCTTAGACAATCCAATTAAAGCTCGACAGGTCGCAAAGTCTCTCTACCCAGATCTTCATCGACGATCGATCAGTCGCTGACGTTGCCGTCCTTGCCAACACGGCGGTAGCCATTTGCCACGTCCGTGATCTCCCGGAGCACCAGCCGCAGGCACCGCCTGTAGATGGTGGCATTTATCTGGACCAGCAAGAACACACGTCGCCGGCCCTTGTCCACCTCCGACTCCGACGCGCGCAGCATCAGGTCCATCTCCACCAGCTCGCCGGCCCGAAAATGTTCCGGTCACACTCACACCCGCGTCACGTACCTAGCGCCGGTACTAAAAAATTCACGTTGCTCGCCGGCCCTCGTCCACGCCACGCCGTCGTGGACCCTGAACCGCTCGCCGCCGCCACTGGCCAGCTCACCGGGCAGCCTAATCGTGACCACTAGCACGCCGCTGGCCCAGAATGTGTTGCCGAGGACCAGCCAGCCCGCGGGCTAGGTCCCACACCCTCGCCTCGCCGTCCTCGGAGCACGACACGAGGTTCTTTCAGCCGTTGGCCACCGCCACACGAGCAGTGGCGTTGGTGCTGCTGTCGCTTGCGGCGTGTGAAGTCGTGGTCGCCACGGTGCTTGTGCCTGTGGAGTTGAGGGACGCGACGTGGACGCGGCCGTCTGAGCCGCCGGCATAGAGGTTGGAGCTTGTGGGGTCTAGCGCCAGGGAGAACGCGGTGCACGGGAGCATGAGAGGGTCCGGAGGTGCGCGCCGTTCGCCAGCCTCCAGACCTTGCACGTGCCATTGACGGAGGCCGATGCGACGGTGGCGTTGCAACCTCCGTGCCGCACGCGATGCAGATCACGGGCGCGATGTGCGCGGCAGATGGCGAGGTTGTGTACCCAGGCGCCGTTTGTGTCGTCGACGTCCAGGACCTGAATGAGCGCGAACACGGCCATTCGACGTCGAGATCTGGAGACTTCTTTGCTGCGGGTAAGTTTCTCGCTCATGGGGAGGAAAGTGGCGAGCGAGGTAGCAACGGACGCTATGGAGGATGAAGGAATGAGTGCCATGAGAAAGTTCCGCTACGAAAGAGGCTCCGATACCATGTGAAAATAGTTGAGTGAGTTGCTCACCTAAGGGCTCGGTTACGTGTTATATGGCACAGGAACAACCCACGGCGTGGCGTGTACATCAAGTAAGGATTACAACAGATTACAAGAGCAATATATAAGATATGATCTATCAATCAATTTAAGCTACAAGCTATGAACTAGCCTGGAAGGGAACCGATCAACATAGAAGGAAACATATCATCATCTAACATTCGCCACCTGACACGAAGAGCGAGCCGTCGTCTTTGAGCTCGAGGCAGCAGACGCCGCCGCCGCCGTGGGCGCGGGAGGAGCGGGCCAAGGCACTGGAGAGGAAAGCGTGAGAGCGTGCACGCACCCGGACACACACCCGCCAAGAAGTGGGTGCCGTAGGGCGCCGCCATGAGAGGCGCGACTGGCTCGAGGATGGACAACTCGTGCATGGGCGCTGGCGGCCACCACTGGAGTAGGCGGGTCGAGTAAGGATGGTAGTGGGTCAGGTTCGGTTCGGATATCTGCGGGTTTCGAATCCAGTGGTTTTAGTTTTGGGGACAGTTTTGCACTCACGGATTCGGGGTGGATTACCGTTTTCACACGTGGAGCACCATCGGGGTCCGACACAAATAGAGCCCACTAACAGCCCATCTGGTAGCCCTAGGTATATAACTCTCACAGCCTTACCTCACGCTCGACCGCTCGCTCACCCCGGTTACGGACTCACCAGATCCGTATGTCGGCATGTTGGCGCTTGTGTTTCCTCGGGCGCTCGCTCACCCTGGCCACGGACTCACCAAATCCGCTGTCGGCATGCTGGCGCTTGTGTTTTCTTGGCCGCTTGTTCACGCGCGGCCGCTCGCTCACGGCCTCACCTCACGCTCGGCCTCACCACCCGCCATCGCGCAAACAACAGCTGTAGGTTTCGGAACCTGCCACTACATGTACACCCACCGGCCACAGAAAGCAGACGAGCAGGGGCCGGCGTGCCCAATTGCTAGAGGCGCCGTGGTGTGCGCGCGCCCAGCCGGAGCAGGTGCGGGCAAGACGCAGGCGGCGGTGCGACGCCCCCAGGCCCTAGCCGCAGTCCCGTAAGGACCACGATGTAGGCGGAGGCGGACTCTAAGGGCGGCAGCAACGCAGTGTATAGGGGATTTGTTGTAATGTTTTTGGATTTTGGATAATCCATCGTGTTTCGGTTTTAAAGATGGATTTCCACCTGAATTGATGTTTGAGACGGATTCGGGTTTTCAGTTTGGGTTTTGATTTTAGACGCGATCCAAATCCGTCCCATTGCCATCCTTATGGTCGAGCCGGCAATCATGGCTGGGCAGATGTGGGAAGCTGCGACAAACGTGGTGCCGGTGCCGACGGCCACGGCGAGGTCGTTTCGCGGCGTATTGGCGGCCGGGAACTCAGCCACGACGTCGCCCGTGAGCGCGTCGTAGGCGGTGATCGGCCGGCCGTGGGAGGCCCCGCCAGGAGGAGTTCGTCACCGCCCCGCTGCGAGGAGAACGCCGTGGCGTAAGCGGTGGTTTTGGGCAACAAGTAATTAACGAAATGTCAATTTATTGATGGGCTTATACAACAGGCCTCAATAAAGCACTCGCATATGGGCCTCCATGGAGAGAAAGCCGGCCTAATTTTAACCTTCGCATTATCTCGTCGCTGCATTTCTATCGTCACCACCACGCTTTCCTTTCGTTAACCCCTCGTCGGCTCGTTGCTTCCTCCCTACACTCTAGCCGCGCCAACGCCCCAAATCCCAAGCATATGGAGGGAGTAGCCACCGCCGTCTTGCTGTTCCGCCCACGCGCTTCCACATGCCTCACCATTGTCCTCGACGAGAATTCCGGCAACGCCCGCAGGAGCCCTGGTGCAGGCGGTAATCCAGATTCCCGTAAATTGTTCGTTGTTTGGTTAACTACGAGCGCTCGTGTAGCCCTGTAGCTTGAGCATTTTTTTTTGTTGGATTGTTTTCAAGGGAGGAGCAGGGTTTCGAGGCGTAGTCTGGAGATGTCTCCCAGCGGCGCAGGTAAAGGGGCAGTCGGAGTAACTGCTTAGATGTTCTGTACTTCTGTTTGGTGAGTTAATTTAGGACTGTCCGGGTTGCTTGTATGAATCGGCTTAAAGTTTTCTCCTTTTGTTGGAAGGGATGAGTAAGGTACGGAGGCACGGTAGCAGGGAGGCGGAGGCTGCAGCTCGATCAGGTAAAAAGTACTAACGATCACCATGTATTTGCTTGGCTGGTTAACCGATTATGAAATGTTAGAGTTAGATATGTGAAGTGTGGTAGTAAACAATTAGGATCAAATTTCTAAGCCTGTGCTTATCCAGTGCAATCTTCACCCATTTAGTGATGCAGTATTATTCCAATTTCTTTGCTGTGTCCACTGAAGCACTGATGCATTTCCTTCAGTGACTAATTACTGCACCCGGAATGCGTGTAAATTATTTTACAAATATTTGTTCCGTAATATAGAATTCTTTCGTGATAGTTATGGATATGCTTCTAGCTTGCTACCGTTGTTGTTGACTGTCGAGTTTGACTGCCTTTGGACTTCTCTTGTGGTAACAGTAAGGTCAATTACCATCTTAAGCCTGCTACTTGTTCTCGTATCATTTGAAACATCTTGTAATTTGTCCCACTGTTTAACCAACGAGTTCATGTTGCTGGAGTTAAAGAGCATGTCTTTTTGGGACTGCTGGAGCAAGACCTTGTTAATTCTTGTGCTGCAAACTCCTGCAGCATCCAGTGCTCGTTGAAATGTTTTTTTTTGGGTTTTATAGTGCTTGGTGATGTGTTTTGCTATTGACTTGTTGGGAAACAAGGGAATACACCTGTTCTCGGAAAGGATATTATTACCTGTGCTAAAAAGAGGGTTTACCGTGCTTAATGTCAATGTGATTCTAGCTACCAATCAAAATCTCTGATTTTTTTTAGGAATCACTAGAGTTCCAAACCTTGGTCCTGCAGTTTTTACTAAAAGGGCAGGTAAAGAGTTCTTTTCAATAACTATACCTTAGTTGCTCACTTTTATATTTTGATATATATTTTTTCTTCTTAGGGATGAGTAAGGATACATTTATTCATTTGGACGTCTCTCATCACAGAGCGGGTAAAAAGTTATAGTTAAAGTTCTCAAATTTTGCTATTCATATATAGTTTTCTTCATAAAAATTTTGGCGATGATAATAATTTTGAGGGGCTTTGTTTAGTCATTTATGTTATCTGTGTCCTTGAAGCAGTTGCAGTGGTGAGGTTGCTAAGAATCGAGAAGGGGAAAGCATTTGTAGACCTTTTGAATAAGAAAGCAAATGATTCTGGAGAGAAAGAGATAGGATATGTGGAGAGGACACTAGGTTTCAGCACACGCTATTTGGAGGACAGGGATATAAGACTGGTAAAAGTTATATATTGCACATGGTGAATTGGTGGTTCTATTTGCAAATTTCTATTTATTCAAAAGGCATACACTATAAGACTAATAAAAGTTACATATAGCACATACTTATTTGTGTTTCTGTTGTCTGATTTCAATTTATCCCAAAAAGCATACACTTTTGGGTTATTGCTGGGACTCTTGAATTATTTATCTTCAACAACAAACTACAAGGCTACAAGCCTTTTAGTCCCAAACAAAAAATAAGTTTGTTGGAGTGGCAACCATATATCCCTTCAATATTCAATGAACATAGAGCCAACCATTTCTCAGTTCTTTTTGTTGTCTTCACTTACTACTACTAGCATGTATAAGGTGTCGTACTGTGATGACAGACATGTTTGTGTGAATGGCTATTAAGTAGTAACTATGTTTCAAGGTTTGTATATGCCTGTACGAATGGGCTCAAAGCTTCTGTTTCATTTTCTTATACTTACATTATTAGGTTACCGTCATAGTTGCTGGAACTGTGCGTTGGAAACGCTACCTTGATTATCTAATCATGTCGCTATGCAGTGAGGAGAAGGTTTTCAGGGAGATGGAGCCACTGCTCCTGCAGGTCTCTCTTAGTCTCCTATTCGCCTTAAAGCATATATATATTTTCTTGGATACTCATCATAGTAGTTAACTCCACTCTTGTAAAACCTTAGAAGGCTAGCACTTTGTGATTTCAGATATTGAGAATTGGCTGTTTTGAAATTCTCAAGCTTGATGTACCTGCTTATGCTGCAGTTAACGAGGTATGTTGATTTTTCTTTCTTTCTTTCCTTTTTCCTTTTCCGATGCTTTGAAATTAAGTTAGCTATTTGTGTGGTTTATACTCTTATTTGAACAAATCGTTAGCTTCTGTTTTCAGTTTGAGAGCTTTACATTCTGTTTTGTGTAAGTTCCACAGCACAGATGTGACATGGAGCTAACAATTCATTGATTTGTTCATGTCATGTTTATACCATAACAGAGAGTTTATTGTAAATTCTGTTGCTTTTTTGTGATAACTACATGTGATTAGCCAATTATCTAATTCTTGTGTTTTGTGTAAGTTCCACAGCACAAATATGACATTGAGCTAACAATTATTCTTGTCATGTTTATACCCTAACAGAGAGCTTATGTTGCATTTTGGTGATAACTACATGTGATTAGCCAATTATTCACATTCTTTTGTGCCTGCACTCAAACATCAAATAGCAAATTTAGTTGTTTCACTTACCCCTGTGCCCAGTATCTATTATGTGTTCATGGATAATAATGATGAATAGTGAGAAGAATCTTTTCAAGTTCTTTGTGTTTTTTTTTGCACAACTTACATTTTTTATATTATGATCATACATATACTTTCAACATGACTCCAGAAAAAAAAATATATAATGGTCATGTTCCTGTTTCAGTAATCTGAAATCAATTCACTTCGTACACCATTGTTATTGGGATTTGAACCTTTTTATGTCCTTTCTTTGAGATACATATTGTATATTTGTCACTTATACTACTAATGTTAATGTTAAACTAGACAATCATGTATATGTATCATTGTTTTAGAAAAACCGATCTAACAATGTATCCTGCAAATCCAAATTTTAGAATGTAAGGCTTGCTAAAGTAGCTTTAAGGCCTGGTGCTGGGAATATGGTGAATGCAATTCTGCGTAAACTTGTATTGCTAAAGGTATGGACAGTAGATTTGATTTAGTCAGCCTGATCAATAGGATGGTGTTGCAACATGTTTTGTTTCTCTTCATAATACAGGAGACAGACTCTCTTCCTCTTCCAAAGATAGAAGGTGATGATCGAGCCCAAGCTCGTGCTGTTTCTATAATTTATTCTCATCCTGTTGTAAGTCTGCTCTTCTTTTAAGAATTTGTTATCTTCTTTTATATATTTAATTTTACTGTGTTCTTCCTTGCTAGTCGTGTAGCAATCAGGGGCATTAGTGGCCAGGCTAGCAATCAGGGGCTACAAATTAGGAGAATTATTGTCTCCAGATGGTTAATGGCCTATTTATATCATGTAATCAGTGTTGGATGAAGCAAGCAATAACAAACCAATTTCCTAATTTCTCTCCTCTCTCAATCTCACCCCCTTCACCAGCCATCCTCCTGGCAATGGTTATCCCCCAACCCCCAATGATCTAAGGATCATAAGGTTCATACCATCTGGTATCATGAGTCAGGGATCCTGGAGAAGTTCACCTGCTACCGTGCTGAAATGGAGAAGTCAGAGCATGAACACCTGGCGGCAGTACGCCTACAGGCAGTAGTACGTGGACTCCTAGCACGTCGGCGGGTGCAGTCTCTCCGTGGGGAGCAGCGTCTCGCTGTTATCTCCAGGGCCATCACGTGGCCATCATCGGAGGAGCGGGCAGCGGTGCGCCTGCAAGCAGCAGGGCGAGGTTTCCTTGTCCGGCGGATGGTGCGGAAGATGCGCATGCTGCTCAGCCCGTCGCTGCAGCAAATAGCAGCCTGCACGTTCAACCACTCGGGCTCGCCTATACGTCCTGCGGCTCCAGCTGAAGTAGAGATCTGGGTATGCGGTCTCCTGGTGTGGGGAACGACCAGCGCAACCCAGCAGCAAGCACTGACGGCGGTGGCCGTCTCATTTGTTCTGGCACCCGCCTTGGTGCTGGACAGGTCCAGCGTACTAGTGGGCTGGTACATCCTCCACTCTTCATCCCACATGAAGCCAGCGGTTGGGCTCCTTCCATGGGATCCAGGAGGACTTAGTTGCAGTTCAAATTTATTTTATATTTTAGTTTTAAATAACAACGGTAAGACGAGATGTAAAAGGCTTAACCCTAGGTCGCGTCAAGTAGGTCTGCAGCAGCTCAAGGACGAGCTTCTCGTCGAGGGGGGAGAGATGTCATGTGGCTAGGCTAGCAATCAGGGGCTTTAGTGGCCAGGCTAGCAATCAGGGGCTACAAATTAGGAGAATTATTATCTCCAGGTGGTTAGTGGCCTATTTATATCGTGTAATCAGCCTTGGATGAATCAAGCAATAACAACCAATTTCCCTAATCCCCTCTTTCTCTCTCAATCTCACCTCCCTCACAATTGGGCGCTCAGGGGATAAACCCTGCACCATTACCGATCCAGGCTACGAACTTCATAGCCGGGGTCCTGCTACCTTGGGCGCCAACGCCCTTGACAAGTCGCTACAATCAATATACTCACATTTCTGAAGGCATTAGCACTTGAACTACATTTTTTAGATCAATATCCCTATTACCTGGGTCTTGTAGCTGTGGGATGTTCAACATACTTGTTCTTTCTGGTTAAAAATCTTTGCCTGAAAACAATGCAAAGAAGATCATGACCAATTATAATTTTAAACTATATTGTGTGTTCTGCATTGCAGTGGATGGTGAGAAGATGGATACGATTTCATGGAAAAGATGAAGCTCTAAGATTGATGAATTGGAATAACAGTGACCCTCATTTCAGTCTAAGGTTTTAGCCAATGTTATTCTATAATGCAATCCACATGTTCTGTTTCAAGCGCCTGGTTGACTGACCTTTATATACTTTGCTTCATAGGGTGAACACATCAAAAGGCTATACTAGGGCCGACCTTATAAAACGATTGGAAAGTTTACAGGTGCTTCCATTAATCTTCTTACCTCCTGTTCTGTCGTGTATGAGTTCGAGTATAATTTCTTAAAACCAAGAATGACTGAATGAGTATAGCATGTACTTTCTGCACTTCATATATGTAATTTTGGATTTTGTCCAAATTTCAGTTCACATTGGAGAATATCAATCTTGATATAGAGCTAGTTGGGTCTATCTCAGTATCCATTTCAATGCCAATTCTATGACAATTTTGCAATCTAATGGATGTTTTTTTGTAGGTTCATTATGAAGAATCAATTATGGATGAATTTGTCCGTGTTCGGGAAGGGATGCAGGTACATTAGCTGAATAGATTTGTCTTTCTACTATTTGTACACACTTTTCGTATGTTGACATGATCTTTTCATATCCTCTGTACCTTTTCTTTAAACAAATGTGATTTGTTTAATATTCACATTTCTACCATTTCAAAACCTAGTAAACATGTTAGAGTGCATAAGATGTCCGCTTTCATTGCATTTCCAGGAAAGTGATCTGAGAGCTGATTAAAAAATCAACCTTAAATACTTAAGATTTCTAGCAAATAAAATTGTAAAAATGGATAGTTCTATGCTTATTGCTTTAGATGTTATTTTGATTGTTATAACTGTCGGTCAGTATATCTTACCATGCATCATGTTGGATAAGTTTGTTATTTATTATGCAAGTCCGTTTGCATTCAATCAAGGGCCCTTGTGTGCATTCACTGTTTCCCCTGAAGAAGAATCATTTTATCATTTATCCATTACCAAACCACTGATTTCATTTCTCATGTTTTTCTTGATTATGCCTCTTGTTATGCTTGATAATTGGACAATTTAATTTCTTCTTTGTATAGTCAGTCTTACAAGCTGGACTACTGAAAGATGGCATTTGTGCTGTGCAAGATGAGAGTGCAGGCAAGTTACGATAGTTATTTCATGATCACTAAGCATGTACCTTATCCAAAATGTCGTTACTGCATTAAAATGACATTTTTCTAAGATTACTGCATTAAAATGTTTTTTCTTCTAAAAATGATATTACTGCACTAAAATAATGCTCTTAGCGAATAATAGCTCATGGCTGTGGAAAGGCATTCATCGTTTCATGTCACTTCCGTTTAGTTGGGAGTGACACAGTTTCATTTGAGGAATTTATTGCTAGTCTGTGTTGAGTTATGAAAGACCTATTGCAGGCCTTGTAGTGTCTGTGGTCGATCCGCAACCTGGGGAAACAATTGTTGATTGCTGTGCTGCACCTGGTGGAAAGACTCTTTTCATGGCATCACGGTTGTCAGGAGAAGGTAGGAAAATGGAATGGACAGAGGGGGAGCATTCACAAATGCCACTTTTAAGTGAAAGTGTCAAGATCATACAGTTTAACTAGCCATCAGATGCTATACTCAAACTGCATGGGTATAATGTTTATACCTGGCGAATATACTTAGCTTGATAACCACTGGCACATGGATATCATTTACCATATGCCTGAAGGTGCATATAATCAGGCTATCAGCAGTAAAGTGATTCATTCCGACATTCACTCACATCTCCACTTTGTTCTGCTGATATCCTGATTATATGCACCTTCAGGCATATGGTTCTTGATATCCATGTGCCATTGGTTGTGAAAAAGATGTGAGTGAATTTTGGGATGAATCACTTTCCACTTCTTACTGCTGATAGCCTGATTATATCCACCTTCAGGCATATGGTAATTGATATCCATGTGCCAGTGGTTGTCAGGTATAAAGTTTATATCCATGCAGTTCTAGTGCAGCATCTGATGGCTAGTTAAACTGTATGACCTTGATACCTTCACTAAAACTGGCATTTATAAATGCTTGTATTTAAAGTCAACAAGTACATAGATCTCACAAAAATCATTTCAGAATGTTTTCTTTTGCCAACACGTTTGCCATTTTATGTGGTTCTGATCGGATTCCATATGTCGAATGGATAGTAGCTTAGAGACTTGTCACGATCATGTACTCTGGTACAGGGAAGATATGGGCTCTGGACATAAACAAAGGTCGCTTGAGAATACTCATGGACGCAGCAAAGTTACACGGTCTAGATGATATGATCGTTGACATCCATGCTGATCTTCGACTATACGCTGTAAGTTCCCATGAAAGTTCACACAAACCCAGAAAAAGAACAGAAGATTTGCTTATAACGCTCCAATGGAAATATTTTAGAAATATGACTAGTGATCATCATGGATTCATGTTTAATGATTTGTCCACATATATGATAAGAAAATTTTGCCCATGTGGACATATATTGCAGAAGGAAACCACTGCTAAATATGACAAAGTATTGTTGGATGCTCCATGCTCTGGCCTGGGAGTCCTTTCCAAGGTACCTTTCTTCATCAAGTACATCTCCAACATTTCATCCTTCCAGTTTTCATTTAAACCAATCTGAATCTGGAGCTACAAGCTATTGCATTATAAAATTACTTTTTTTAATGTTCCTAAGAGGGCGGACTTACGTTGGAATAGACAGTTGGAAGATTTGGAAGAGTTGATGTGTTTACAAGACGAGCTTCTTGATTCGGCATCAATGTGAGATCCCTTGCTCTGTAAAATCATGCAAGAAAATTTGTCTGAACAACATCTGAGGTTACTTACAAGGGTTTTACTTGCAGCTTGGTAAAGCCTGGTGGTATACTAATCTACAGTACGTGTTTAATTGACCCTGAAGAAAATGAAAAGAGGATTGCTGCTTTTGTTCAGAGGCATCCGGTACTTTTTTTCATAACAATCAGCACTATTTGTTTGGTTCAAGTTATAAACTCAATATTCAACTTGAATGATAAAAAATATGTTTGTCCTTCCTATTCAGGGACTGTTGGTATTATACTATTATTATGTGTTGCATTGTTTTTCCACTGAAGTGAAGTAGCAGTAGCACTATCAATAAACTTCTTAATTCCAGTAACTGGAAGTTCTTCATAACCAACCATTCCCACTATATTCTAGCCCTACTATTTCAGGTATAAAGAATGATATAACTCTGGTGTAGGACACAAAACTGTGCACATTTAAACTTTCTGTAGCATTATTTTTTTCCTGCAATTGGAGTTCCTGCATCATGATTCATGTCCGCAACCTTGACACTTCATCATGTTCCTTTTTTGCATACAGAATGTTTTGTATACCCAATAAAAAATCTTATTATGATTATATTTTTTGAAATCTGTATATTAATTAATTTATGATATGCTGTAGGAATTTGCTCCTCAGAGTGTATGTGGGTATGTTCCTACAGAATTTATCACAGATGAAGGTTTCTATTCCTCAAATCCAACTAAGCACTCTATGGATGGGGCATTTGCTGCACGTCTTGTCCGGTCATTGCACTAAGATTATAGGAGTTGCCACAAGGCCACAGCTAGGTGAGATGGAATCACATGTATTGCCCTAATGATAGAGTGCACCAAGTCACTGCTTCAATATCTTTATCTTACATATTCTTGAAACTCTGTCTGCGTTTTCCTCTTGCATTCTACATTAAGAAGCACTGGGCTTTGGCTTCACAAAAAAAGCATAGTCAAATTCATACCATATTGCTTCTTGTACGGCACACAGATTAGTTGCATCATAAACAAGAATGCTGAGGATGCCCTGATGGGTAATGTTATAAATGTATGTTGCAAGCCAAGGTACTAGAACTACACCTGCTTGAATGGTCTGCCACTGTGCATCTCTATTTAGTTGATCCTAATGTAGCATGACTATGACACCTTTGTCTAATGCTGCAAATGGTAGAGTTAGTAGTTATAAGAATTTCTAGATGGATGCACTCATCCAAAATTCCAAACGTAGCCTAACATACATACATTTAGTTAAATATGGTATTTTAGAAATTATTCTAGTGCACATTATTTATAGGCAATACCAGACAAGTGTCGTCATTACTACTGTGGAAGAAACAAGGTTTTTTATCAGCATGGAAGTTATATATATCATTCCTTGTTTGCAATCATAAAGTGTGTATTTATTGTCTATACTTGGGTTGTATAATTGCTGTCAGTGAATGTGAACTGAGATGCCTGGCCTTACAGCTAATTTTCTAGTTGAAGGAGATTTTGTGCAACTAGAAATCAAATGTAGCATGTAGGCGGGCACCAATTCTTTTAGTGATGCAAGTGACAAGTGAGAGATTTTGAAGAACTGCCACGTGCTATTTTGTGTACATCTTACATACTGTTGTGTATCTTGTTTGCCACTGCAGAAGATGCACAATGTCCTGTAAACTCTTTGCAAGCTATGTGGCACATACTGTTGTTTGTATCCGATTATCTTCATCTCAAGTTCCTTTTTTTAATATCCTCTCATTTTATAAAGATTATTATAATAATTAGCAAGCAAGGCTAATCTTTTTATTTGAGGATCTAAAGAATTTTATGGAGAGCATACCATAAGCGAAGCTTCATCCTACTGGAGACATTTGAAATGTTGATACATATCATACACTCATTGAGCGGCAAATAGTTAAGAGTGCTTGCAAGGCCATTTGTTTGGTTGGGAACTTCCAAGATGAAGCTTGTACTTCTCCCTTTATGTACTTTTGCATTTTTCTACTGTCTAAAAGACTGATTAGTCTTTCTTTTGATCCATCTTATGCGCATCACTAATTTATTATGTATTTGCTCAATACATAATCAAAATCAACATATCTACTCTTTTAGGAAAAATAGAGAAACATATTGATTTGACCTTTGAAATGATGAGGCAACAGACAATGCCCCTCAAAACAAACACATAAGGTAGTGCTGTTTTAGGATGGTTTGGGTTTTTACATGAGACAGTATGCGAATATCTTGCATCATCTTTTTTTATGTGTAGTATATTCAATTGAACTCTTAAGAAATTCACCAGTGCCTCTTCTGTGACCTCAAATTATTGGTACAAAGAGGGCCACAATCACCAAGCCAATGGAAGCTAGTGTGACTGAGAATGGAATTCTCCCTGTGTCTTTCCTGAGGAACATTGCTTCATAGATTGGGATATTGATGATAACTAGCACCCCACATAGAATGACCTGGAGGAAAAATATATTGAATGCCATATGCCAGGTGCCTGTGATGATTTGATATAGCCCTCCCACCAAGCGCACATGGTTGAGTAATGCAACTGTTGCAATGATCACATATTCTGGTGAAGACGATCCAAATTCCATGATTTCTTGCTCGTACCTTTTCGATTCATCTTTATTGCTGACCTTTGATGTAACTGCAAACGCCATCTTTGACAGTCCTACCAAATTCCTGATTGTGTCAATGACACCATAGAGGTATGAGGTTATTCTTTTAATTATCCACATCCTCTGTCCATTCCACCACCCCTTCAATGTTTCTCCGGATAATAATGCTTCATATAGGTTGTACATATTCTCCACCGATGAAACATATAGGAAAGGTATGACCCATGGACTCATTATCTGAATGACTAAGGGCATCGTGTTAGTTTCACTGCAAATTATATGAAACTAAAGTGACACTTATATCATATAATGTTACCTCTGGAAATAGGGGAGTGCTCTTGAGAAGGCCAAGTGAAGGGATGATAACATAATATAGTGTAGGGAGTGAGTTTGGTGCCCACAAACCAGGAATTGAGTAGGCCATTTGATGTAGTAACCTGATATTTCCATGTCCAAAGAAGAAGGGACAGTACTTGGAAAGAAAGATTGAAAAATTACCCTCGCTCCATCTCTTGTGTTGCAGTATTGTCTGAGCAAGTGTTGTTGGACCTACACTGATAAATGCTGCTCTTGATGGGCTCATGAAGACTGACCCCTACCCTCTACAATGTATTGCCAATCCAGTGATGATGTCTTCTACTGCACAATCATATTTCAAGCCAATCTCATTTCCCCACTGTGTTTTATATTCATAAGTGCAGGTTGCTAATGACTTCGCTTTCTCTTCAGTCTGATCTATGTTGACTTGTGTCTTTTTCTTAATTCATCTGCCCCAATCTTCCTTGTATTCTTTGGTTTACCTTCTGCCACATAGGATCTCCCTTCTATGGAAGCATCCGGAGCCACAATATAGAGGGCCACCCACACTGTCGAAATCACTCAGCTCCTTTAGATCTGAAGTAGCTATGTTAGTGTCATGACATGTATAGTAGTTGCATATACTGCTATTGCTATTTATGAAAGGTGTTGAAATCACATTGCTATTGCTGACCTGATTGATGACACGGAGGGAGTTGTCATATATGTCATTCTTCGTCACATTGGCCCCGTTCGCTGGTCTAAAACTTGGCTGAAACTGGCTGGTTGTTGTGAGAGAGAAACTGTAGCGACTGGTTGATAAACAGTGTTTTGTGAGGAGCAGCCGGCTGGTCTGGAAAAACCAGACCAGCGAACGCAGCCATTGTTATAGGTCTGAGGGAACTGTACAAATCCGATCTTGTGACCCATTTCTTCATCAAGGAAGAAGCATAACGCATCTCTGATTGAATCACTGTTGTTGGAATACGTATCACAGTCCACATTCATGATGATAGGGCTGTTGCTTATCACTGATGATACCTTATCTGAATTAAAAAAAAGAAATGTTGACATATTTTTAGACTCGTGGTTAAGGCATCATATTCTTTCATGGAGTACACTTTATATTTAGCGCGCGTTTAGTTCCCCAAAGTTGGATTTTGGGGATACTGTAGCACGTTCGTTTTTATTTGGTAAATAGTGTTCAATCATGGACTAATTAGGCTCAAAACGTTCGTCTCGCAATTTCCCACCAAACTGTGCAATTAGTTTTTTTTTGTCTACATTTAATGCTCCGTGCACGGGCCGCAAACATTCGATGTGACAGGTACTGTAGCAACTTTTTGGAATTTAGGGTCCAACTAAACAAGGGCTTAGCATTTTAGCCAGCATGGTGGTAATGAGAGTTTGTTTATGATAATTGTCAGACTCCATACCACACCTGCTGATGTCTCACAGTTGTGGTATTTTACCCACATCTAGGTAAAATCAACATATTTTGAACTGTATATTTTGATAAAGGGCTGCAGAACTGTAGATTTAAACATTTCCTTTAAGTTCAACTTTGGGGAATTTTTTGATGCACTGCTGATTCATTGATGCTTGATGGATTATTGAGGTGTCAGCAGATAGGATAAATACCCACCTATGTGCATATGCAAGCATTATTCTACAATGTTCGTGGCTGCATCAGTAGTTGTTTGAAATGTGCAAGCATTATTCAAATTATTTCACATGGTCCCATGCACTATGAATTGTGTAAACATGTGGCGCACCGTGGACCTACTAGGCACGACAAATCTATGCCTTGTGTCAATTGCATCTTATGATTTTCTGATGGAGACAATAATAGCGTAGCATGGCCTTGGTCATCCCTGTACGACTCTAACTATAAATTGAACTTCCTGATCACAGAATCAGAATATATATGTTTAAACTATTTGCTTATTTCTATTGCACATATGAAAATAAACAAATACTAATGTGTAAAGTAGGGAGTTTAAAAAGAAGTTTGTTAAGTTCTAAGATAAGGACAGATAGGGCAAGCACCAGAGCGTTCATTGCCCCAGCTTTGAAGTTGTGGTGGTATTGAGGCCTCTTCTCTCGTGCCATGTATACCAGTGTTGGTAGTACATTAACCTCCCTGTCATTTGCATTGACGTGTTTCCCATCTATCGGAATCTAGAAAACGAGCGAACTGTCAGAATTAGGAGGCTCAAATGTTATGAAGTTCCTCACTCCACAATTATTAAATCACGCTCCAGTTTGGAGGGCAGGAAAGCTACCTGAAGAATTGGCTCGTGATTTTTGGGAGTCATTTCTGAATTCCATTCAGAAAATCCTTTATGCTTTGCTTTTATTTCTTCTGGAATTTTGCCTGACACAACAGCTGAATCAATTCGCTTAGTCATTTCCTCGTACAGGCCCTGCCCAATGGAATATCAGTTGCCATGACCCCCCAAAAAAAAAAATGCATACCTTGACGAATGACCATTCTTTCAAGGTGCGCAGATAAGCAGCTGGTGACCTTGGCTCAACTTTGTATGTCTTGCAAAATGGGAGCCAATGCTTTGCGAACACGGAGGCCCTCCCATAGAGCATAGAAAGTGAGAATCGAGCCTCCATCGTCCGAGAGGTAGACGTTTAATTTCTCAGCTGGGTAGTTGTATGCCATGACCGATAGCACAGTGGAGATGACAAGATTTGGTGGCTCTGATTGTGGGTCTGCAGTGCACACGAAGATGTCCACGCAAGGCAGTCGTTCTCCAAATCTGTGCCAAATGATACGGTTCGTCGGTTCGTTAAATCTCAGTGGATAGCATAATTACTCAAATTTATTGTGCATGAAAGGTAATTTAAA